GGGCGTGGGGGCACTCCCTTCCTTCCTGCTCTGGACACAGCGCGTGCTTCTGGCTCAAAGCACAAACCTTGCAGAGGGACACAAAACCACCCTGGTTTTGGGAATGCTTAATTCTGCCCAGTTTGGCTGAACGTCTAACACCAGATCACGACCGAGGGATTGCATCTCTTCCAATCACCACCCTGCCAGGAGGAAAGCATCACGACGGCGGGGAGCGTCTGGCACTGCTGGATGACCCGAGGCTCAGAATAGTCTATTATCGAGGATGGGAATACAGAATTAGTGACACCACTTCGCTTCCCCTGCCCCTGCACCCCACAGCAAATGAAGCAAGTAAAAGGAGAAATGGCAAGCGAGGGGCACGAGGCAGGCTGTTGCTCACCAACGTAGTTTGGCTGCACCCCCTGCCTCGCTGCCTCTCCGCACGGCCAGGTGTTCGAGGCAGGGCCTGGGATTTGCACCACGCACTTTTTAGGCACTGCGGAAAGCAGTAGTTGTACACGTTGTACGTGCTGTACTGTCTCCCTCACGTTCAGCAGCTGCACGTGCCTGACAGCCAAAAAAACTTCCTACAAAAGAGCACCAGTCAAACTTGGATGCTTTAAGTACAGCAGGAAAAACAAAAGGTTTCAGGAAAGTCTCCAGTGAGAAATTCAGACAGAATTTTCCACAGCGTAAAACTTAACACAGGCTGCAGATGGGAAGGGATTCAGATATGTGGTCCGCGTTACTGGTAGGGATCCCTGTCCGGCCTGCAAGTATTTCAGATCTCTGCCTAGCGATAAGTCTCTCTGGACGACTCTCACATGGATGCCAGGTCACAAATGTGCATCGTGGGAGCGGTGCAGAAGCAGGAAGGTAAGCAGAGCGCTTCTTCTACCAAGCCAAGACAAGGAGGTTTCAAGGGACAACACTCTGTTCTTGCCTAAAAACAGCGTTTGTAAGTGGGGACTCTTCCACACATAGGTCATGGGTTATGTACTGGTAAAAAACAACAGGCTGGGGGGTATCCCATTCAGGTTGTAAAAATGACAACGGAGACTTCTACCCTCAAACCCTGAAAATAAAAACAAGACAATCTCTTAATGCCTGGATTTGTGAGAACGATCACGATGCAACAGCAAAGTAAGGCTGTGGGTGGGCAGGAATAAAGAGGCACCCAGCGGAGAGCAGCGCGGACCTTTTGTTTCAGCTGGATCTCCTATCTGAAAACAGACGCAGAACGGGAGGAGGCAGAGGAAACAAAAAGTCAGCTGCTGCTGTTATTGCCGCACGCGCTTGGTCTAATGGATTCTGGATTTCTAGAACAAGCGCCTGCCCCAGACTCGAATCCTGTATGGCAGAGCTCCCAGGAGACCTCTCCTCCTGCTCGGCCTTCCCCTGCCCAACACAGCAAAAGCTGTTGCTGCTACCGACACCGAGGGAAAACCCTGAAGAGTTGGGGTCCACAAGAGGCTGTGTCCACGCCCTCCTCACACCTACTCTAGCCCTTGTAGATTGATCAGATGTATTTAAAAAATATCTAGCAAGGATGGTTAAGCAGTGGGGAAAAAACATCTTATCAAGAGAAGTGGCTTTAGTGGACTAGACTCTACACCATCTGAATTCCACAAACCAACAGCGGCTCTTTCAAAAACATACGTTTTAACTCCACCGGAAGTCGTGGGATTCCCGGATATCATGCTCTGACCCACGCTACACAGGCAGATGAGATGATCTAGGCCTTTCTGGGCTTAGATTAGCGGTCTAATCTAATTCTGCAGACCAAAGAATTGCAGGCTTGTATCAACTGCTGCCCCCTTTCAGTGTCTGCATCAAAAGGGCGCCTTACCAGTACAGCACCCGCTCCAAGTTATTGCTGATTATTAACACTTCAAAGGGAAAACTCAAACACTTCAGAGCCGTCCGCAGTAATTATACCACAGCAGCAAGGATGGATTTCACTCTGGCTCTTCCACATCTCTCACCAGTCATCTTCTAGCAAAACAGATCAGTTGCAAGTACTCAAACACGAGGCACTTGGTCCTCCAACCTATTTTGGGCTGCTTTTTCTCTTACAAGTAACGATTACCTGCAGCATTTCTATAAATGAGGGACCAGAAGTGCAGGCATGCTCTCAACGAACCCTAACGAAGCCTCTCACTCCTGACCAGCACGGCTTCAAGATTCAGTCCCGGGCCTCTTCCAAGGGTGTTCTGGCAGCCGGCAATCACTGAACCCAGTCTGGGAAGTAGCTTCTAGTAAGAACTACGAAGGAGCAACCACCCAAGTAACAAATTGCTTCTCGACTGACTTGGAGGCTAATCACACAAGCAAGTTGCAACAGGAGCAGGTGTTTGCACGCACCCCGGAATTGTTCCCTTTGATCCAAGGGGAGCCCAGTTTCTCTTACTATCAGATATTGTTTCTTATAACCGAATTTAGTGCTGGTGTCAAACCGCAGGTTTGCTTTAAATGGCATGCCAAGTCTTCTGCTTATCCCCAAAGTACCTACAGCAAGGACTGCTGTAGGTGCCGCATCTTTCCCGCACCCAACGTGACAGGGAGGATCCAGCATGCTCCATGAGGACCACCATTAGGACGGGGAGCAAATTACTCCTTTATCAACATGGCACAGTAAGTCTTTGTACCTTCCCAGGAGGCTATAAAAAGGGATGCACACTTAAAAGTTGTTCTTAAAAGATAGACCCTAAAAGAAATATAAAACCTGCAAGGGGGGGGGCGGTAAATGCACAGTCCTGGGCATTTATTATTGCTTGAGCAGGACAAGAAAGTTTGGGAAAATACCAGAGCAAACATTTGGTAGAGGGACAGGAGGGGAGAGCAGGAAGGGGACAGCATCAAGAACAGAATTATACCATTAACAAGACAGACTTGAGAAACATTTTCAGAGGGCGTTCACAGCCGACAGCTCCTCTCTGGACACCAGTCAACATTTTCCTGCACACGCTGACAACCTCAAACAACAGACTCCCAGGCTGGTTTCAAATGGTTCGCTGGATTTTCAAAATTAGAGAAAGGAGAGTTAATCCACTCTAAAGCAAAGTGGAATTCTGGCTGCACTTTTATCCAAGATAAAACCCAACGGGAGAATTAAAATTCATTTGATGATATTTCCCAGGTAACAGCTGGAAAGCACCTGTTCTTCGCAGATGCTTTAGCCTTTCCTCGTGTTGAGACACCGCACAGTACTGAAGTCTGCACCCTGGAAGAATGAGCATATATACTGCTTAATACAATTGCACGTTCTGCTCTATAAGCAGCAGGAAAACAACCTCTACAAATGCATTCATTTGCAAGTGAAGCTGTAGTATTGTCCTGTTCCTCGAGGAAAAAAAAATATTTAATTCAGTTCACTCAGATACATCCTAAATGAGTAAACATTAGTGTTGGAACGAATGGCTTTATTAATAATTACTGCTCCTCTTATTCTCAACCTTGTCTTCTTTTGTACAAACAAATTGCCACTGCTCTCCCTCCATAAGCTCCATCAGAGCAGGAGCCAGCAACACTGAGGGCTGGCGAACAGTTGACGAACAGGAGGAAATACATTCTTAGCCCCCCGAGCCTCCTCTTTGCCAGGAGGAGCCTGCCATGGACACTTGGCACTAACACGTGAAAACTCACGCTCCAAAACTGCAGCATCAATGGAAACAGAAGACGCCGGGTGCCTGGAAAGGGGCTGCGCTTAGTCCTGAGACCGTCCAAGTCTGATCTTTCAGCTAACAGTAACCGGCAATCCCCTGGGCCCCCTCTCCTCCTTCCACTGTTATCTCTTGTTGTCTTAAATATTTCCACAGCCCTCTTTTTTCCATGCCATCCTAATTCTAGTGTTTTCAGACGGCTGAAAAGGGAAGTGACAGGCCATATTTTAGAGCAGCTTGGGGGGGGATCACGCCCAGAAAAAGTCTGCCACTGTAGTTACCCCAAGGAACCCTCTTAAAGTAGACGCCGCTTCTTCCAGCAAGAGTGCTATTGCCAGCACAGCCTGCTGGTTTCCTGAACGACATCAGCTACGCTCGCAAAACCTCCTTTATGCAGCTATGTAAAGGATTTTGCCAGCATAAATACGTTACCAAAATAAGTAATTATCATGCCCCTAATGCACTGGATTTCCAGTGCAGACGTGCCCTTTTCTTCACACAAGTCACCGAGCAGCTGCTATTATTTTTAGTCGGTGCTCAGCTGGGCTCTCAATGCGGCGCCTCGAAAATGAAATGGGACAAGCAGTCAGTCTCCTGTCCAGCTCCCATGCCTGTGATGAGGCTTAATTTATTCTAGAAGCAGTTGACAATCAGGATGGCTGCAGCTCCACCAAGGCCCTACAATGGACATCTGTCATTTTTAACCATTCTCAGGATCTGGAAAACTACCCTGAGAAAAGCCAGGCTGAGACTGGATACAGGGAAGGAGATCCTGGAAACAGCATTCTGCACAGAAAGCAGAGGTCATGCAGCCCACCCCTGCAGGTTTCTTCTAGAACAGCATTTCTCATCCCAAAAGTGGGTTGCAAGAATATACAAAAAGGTTGCAGGGGCAAAAAAAAAAAAAAGGATTCTCCTTTAAAGGACAAAAATAGGGGAAAACCGTGGCTTTTCCCTTGCAGGCTGGCAGTGTTTCAGCCTGTAAGGGGCTGCTTGGGGCACCCCATGCCCCACACACCCACCTCCTGCTCCACACAGTGGGGGCACTGGGTCAGGACTGGTCATCAATGTTTACAAATGGGTCCTGGTACAAAAAAGGTCGAGAACCACTGGGCTAGGAGCAGGCTCTTTCATTCAGCATCCCCTCCAGAACATACCTTCACCGAACACAGCGTGTGATAAGCAACGATGTGATCGATGCGGTCTTCCTTGACAGATCATCCTGTAGCTCACTGTACTTCATTCTTAGAAAGCGTTTTCTGGTGTTCATTTTCCCCGTTATAACACATGTTCACAGCACTAGTGCAAAATCCACCGGGATTCGTTTTCACATTAACACTATGGAAGCAACGATACCTGAAATGACAGCAATTTTCCGTGCGCCGTGCTCCTCTTTGGCTATCCGTTCTGCTTCCTCCATCAGCAACATACCAAATCCCTAGAAGGGGAGGTGCGAAAGAGGAAAGAAAATATAAAGTTTGTTCAGAAAACAGAAGTAAGGTTGTCATTTCAGCCCAAAGACAAAGAACGATAACTATGCAAGGGAAAGCAAACTGATAACCACTGGAGAAGCACACTACAGAGGGGAGCTACACCGACCTTTAAAATGGCAAGGGGCTCAGCGTTTCTTCCAACGAATGGAAATGACTCGTAGGTAACTTCAGTGTCTGGCACCACTTTTGTGTAGGTTAAAAACCAGGCTAAAACCACCGATTCACAAAAGCTGGTACAAGACACCCGAAACTACCTGGTGGAAAAAGACTGCCACACACTGAAATTCCCAATGTGCCACAAGAATTAATTAAAGCGCAGAACTTCGTTGCCTCCTTGTGCGTTTGTGCACTGCGCAGCACAGCGCGAGCGCTGCTGGAAACAAACAGAACAGTTTTCTGTGACAAGGAACAAGTCCCTCTGGCCCCAATTTGGCAACTACAGCCTGAGAAAAGACAAAGGAATGAATTCATCTCTAACAATCGGATGCAGAAGTTGCACTCTGATCTCGGTTCACGTTTCCCTGACAGGGTGTGAGCAATGGCAGAGGTGGAATTGAAGAGTATGCGATTTAATTTTAAAAGTGTAAGACTTTTAAGAAACGCTTAAAATCTTCAGCCTAACGCGTTCTCCTAATGGCACATCGCACGCGCCAGGTGTTCTACGATTCAGGAATGAGAGAAATGTTTTTTGCCGAGTCCAGACTGCTTTCAAAGTAGCACAGCGCACATTTCTACACTGCACGTTAGTGCGTCATACGCCATGAAATCTCAATTTCTGGCCTATTTTAATATGTGCTTGGCTCAACTCGATTGATTTTTCTTTCCCTTTGCTTTTTACTTATGACGGCCAGTTTCCCTACCCTCGGTTTGAAATGTTAATTATCTTATAGTGGAACCATTCGTTCTCTTTCAAGTCTGCTGCCTTATGGCCCTGATCATGGCTGTCAAGCAACGTGCTGCATCCTAATGCATACATCCAGGGAAGGATTAATAAAAATAAAATGTAATTTAAAACAACATCAGCCCCGAAGGCTTCTGGCACAAAGAATAAATAGATGGAGTTTCTGAAGCTTGATCAAACTCTACTACTGCAAGACCAAGCTCACACTCTTCCCACATTAAGTCATAACATGGTACACGTAGAGGGGCAACACAAGTATTTTTCATGAGAAAGGCACCATAGTGAAGTGCGCTTCCTTTTTACCTGGACCTTCCTATTGTTAGGGACACGTGCAGTAGGTTTGCAATCACTAAGACTAGAAAAAAAATTTACTGAAGAGTCCCGCCAATCATTCAAGCAGATAGAAATTTCTCAAAGACAAATCTCGAACTGAAATTTCCTATTTTTGGTTGTAATGAGGTGCTTGACAAATAGCCCCCTTGACATAGACAGCTGCAGAAGGTTTTGCATTCTACTTGATGAATGGTTTTAGATTTCAGTACCAAAACCCATCTCTCAAACTGGATGAGATTATTAGAAAAGACATAAAATCAGGAACTAATGTTTCCCTTTAGTTTTGATTTTACCTAACATGGAGCATTTTATAAGGTAGAAGCAGAACTGATGGTGTTTAATATCTAAATGCTGAATTAGCATCAGGAGCCTATACTGGATAAGCATACAGCAATACCAGTAAAGTATAATCATGCTCCTTCAATCGTGATATAGCCACGATTGGGTCCATCTAGACAGAATTCAGTGGCAGCAGGATTTTTACCTATTAAAGACAAGAAGGAGAACAAATTCAAATCCTGGTTGTGCTGTAGTAGGTTATGAGCAAAATAACCGAACTGATTGCTACCGGTCAGTTCAAAGATCGACATTTTTTTCTTCCTTCCTGATCACAGACGCGGTGAGGATAGGACACGAACAGAAGTAACAATTTCTTGGGTCTACCTGATGCTGAAATTTGGAAGGATCCCGACTGCTCACTGGAACCACGCTGCCGTAGACGTGCAGCTCTCGAACGATGGAAACACCTCCCTTCAGCTCAGGTCTGAACGACTCCTCTGAACACTTCCGCAGTCGCAGAAGGCCAACCAGAATATCCTGCTCTGGGTCTTCATAAGACAGGAAGGTCTCCCAGCCACCATTAGCCACGTAATCTCTTCGAACTAATTCAATCTGTTCCAAGACAACGAGGTTTGGGAGAGGGAAAGGGAAACAAAAACAATATGAAAAAGCCTGTTACAAATAATTGGTCCACACGTTGAATAGACCAAAGCCAATTTCGTGGATTCATAAACTCTTACGGTTCAGAAAAAACATAAATTGCTTTCTCAAAGCCCATTTTAATTTTAGATGGATTTTAGCAGCAGAGATAAAAACTGATGGAGCTATTCTTGCCTCTCTCCTACAGATGAAGTATGCATCATACACAATTGCTCTTCACTGCTGAACACTTCCATCTACAAAGGGGTTATCACCCATGTACCAGTAAGGTGGAAATGGATGAATGGATCTCTGGAAACTTCACTTACTGCAAGGACAGCATGGCAAGCAGCAATCCACGGGCCAACCTTGGGTCTGAAGCATCTAAGAACAAATTCAGATCTGACTACAAGAGTTCTTGCTTTGGCTTCACCCTTGCTCCAGGTCTGATTTGGGTCCTATCTGCCATTGCGGTGGGAAGAAACAATCCCGAGTCAGCTACAACATCTAGGTCTCCTCGCAGCAACAAGCTGCTCCTTTACTAATGCATGAATCAGTGTCTTCCAGCGACTGTGCCCTCATTTATCCAGTGCCTTTCATCCGTACAGATTCAGACAGACTTTGCAAACATTACTGAATCACAAGCATAGAAGAGCCTGGCTTTTCCCACATCCATTTTTCTACCAGGTTGTTCCTGACACCAGTAGCTCTGTTCAGTCTGCTCTCAAAAGGTTCAAGCAATGGGCTTCAGGTTTGTTCCCCTGAATTCCCACAACACGTCCTCTTTTTGATAGCATGATGCTTGGCAAAAAACCCCACTAACTCCAGGCTTGATTGAGCCATGGAAGAGTCTGCCACCTCTGTTCTCCATGCCACAATGGGGTCTGTTTATGGAGTGCAAAATTAGATTGGTCTTTCATTTATTAAACAGACAGGGTTCACTTCACCCCAGACTGAAGTGTAGCTCTGTATAAGAGTTGAAATAACTCGTGCACAGAATTGTCCCATGTTTCTACTACTAACACAACCCAAGAAGGCTGGCCGGCAGTCCTGGGACAGCTGACCCTTGTGCCGGCAGCACTACTGTTATTTACCTGCTTACTAACAGTGTTCAAAGGAGTTTCCCAAAATGCAAGAGGACAAGGCATTTACAACAGAAGACCAATAACCTGCAAACAGCATCATGCAGACAGACCCTATGTGGATCTACCTGACTGCAAGAATGGAGCCTAAAGACCTACTCATTAAGCAGGGGTTAGTAACTCACAGCTATAGGAAGGAGTCAGAAAGTACTGGTAATGCAGCTAGACCAAGAGATTTTGAAATCTGTGACCCCTGAGGCTTCCTGATGAATGTGTCAGAACCCATTAATTAGATGCCTATAGCACAGAGGAAAATTGGTTTAGCACGGAGGAAACTTCCATTGGTTTGATACATGTGCCACCGTGGAATCTCCGGCCATAGTGGAAGATCCTGCTGTCAATCATTCTGAGGCTATGGCAAGGTGGAAAATTCCGCTACGCCTGAACCCAGTAACCAAAGGCTACAGTAGTGGAAAATGACAGCTTAGAAAAAGTTCCCGCCAACCGTATGCAAACACGCACACCACTACTGGCCAGTTCCAAATTATTCATATTTGGCGATTAGCGATTGACTTGCTAGCCATATAAAAGTTAAGAGCTGTTTCCGCCCAAGTTGGAGTGCTCCGTACAAACCTCGGAGACCTCCGAGCACGCGAGAGAGTAAACTCTAAGAGGAACTCCGTATACATCTCGGAGACCTCAGAGAACACCTCAGAGGCAACTTGGCGGACTGATCACCCACCAAGAACCGACGACTGCCGGCCCGTACACCTCTGCAGACCGACCTAACGAATCCTGTACCTGTTTACAACTGTAATCTAAGTCAGTTTTCGTCCTGCACTGTAACCATCAGCGGTGTAAGTAAAGCAATCTTACTTTAACCAATACGCTTCGGTGCCTAGTTCCTCTCCGTCTGTCAAAAGGTACCCACCTGCCGTTTCGGGCTACTGGCCATAGCCCCGGCCTACCACTCGACCGCCACAGAATGAAATGCAGTAACATGGAGAAAACGGTCTCTTTTTTGTTTTCTAGAAAGGCCTGGCTGCTCCATTATACCTCACGCTGTTCAAACACAAGCAGTCCTTGCCCTAAAGGACATGATAGCTAAATACAAAACGACAGAGCTCAGGAGAGAAAACAGGATTATAAAAATCTCCAGCTGCATCGGGGTTTTATACAATGCTCATTTTCACATCTCAGCATATGCCAGATGTATCAGACCTGCGCAGCAAAGTCCCTCGGTCCCACAGAGTCTTCTGTCCTGTCCCCTTCCACAAGTACAGGGGGCTCTATCTGGGTCTGCCATAGAGCTATACTTTCTGTATTATAGGAAATGGGCCTGATGGCTCCAGGAACAGTAAAAGGATACAGAGCTTGTTTCCAAATTGCCAGCATGCACCTGACAAGCTAGCGTGGACCATGTGAACGGCCGTTTAGGAAATGGGTTGGCGGGTTTCAATCTGTTAATCTGTTTCCCAGTGCCCGCGGGAAAAAGAAACTCCTGACACTAATAATCCTGACAGCAATAACTGGCAAGTGGTTTATACAGACTGAACCACTGAAGCCACATCTTCGCTGCAAACAAGCTGTGTTTTCAGACTGCTACAGCTATTTCTATGTAGAGTCCCAGCAGAGCTACAGCATGGTCAGTTTTTATAGATTCATAGATGTTCGGGTCGGAAGGGACCTCAATAGATCATCAAGTCTCCCCCCGCATAGGCAGG